TAGTGCCAACCAGAGCATGTCAACTATTGATTTCAAAATGTGTCCTTTAATTATATGATGTTTTGCATTTGGCTCTAGTTGTAAAACAAGTTGTATCTGTGAGCTACAGTTCAATAAGTTCAGCAACCACTTTAAATCCCTTCTGGTTGGGATTTACAGTATAAACATTTCATAACTGTTTTCATAACGAGCTATGATTTAGTTCTAAGCAGCTATAGGGACTTTATTAATGTATATTTTCCAACAAGTCCAACTTTTCTTTATATTTATTTTACATGCTGTCACAACTTTTTCTGATTCAGTGTTGTATTTCTCAAAGAGTATATGTAAGTGTGCATGTAAGTGCTTCAGAGCCACGACAGAAGTCTAAAATGAATTTCTCAGACATGTTATTCTCATTTGTGTGAGTGAGTATGTGCCAAAAATGTCTTTTGTGCATTCACCCTGTAGAGTGAAGTTAACAATATATCAATTATATAAGCACTAGATGGGGTTTTATGGGAATTATCTTCACAGTTGGACATTTGGATCGCTCTTGGATGAAACAACCTGTTGATGAATGGGCTGAATTCTTAGGTTTTTTTTCTCAGAGTTTCTGACAGATAAATGTTTGCAAAGATTCTAAATACAAAAATATGCCTTGTTTATTATAGGCATCCACTAAGCATAATGATGATTAACTATGAATATTATTTTAGATACTATTATTCGGTATTATGAATGAACAAATGTTCAATTTTATACCTTGATTTTGATGTTTAAATTAAAACCATATTGTATATTTAATTAGGAATTAGGCCCATTATTTACAGGATAAAATCACAAAGACATTTTGATAAGTGAATTGTTTTGTCATTAGGCAAATTTGTTAGAATGCAGGGTGAAGTAGTGGAGTAGTGGTTAGCACCGTCACCTCACAGCAAGAAGATTCCAGGTTTGAGCCCTGGCTGACCCGGTGCCTTGCTGTGCTGAGTTTACATGTTCTCCCTGTGCCTGCGTGGGTTCTCTCCGGGTGCTCCGACTTCCTCCCACAGTCCAAACTCAGGCAGCTTAGGTTGACTGGTAACTCTAAATTGCCCGTAGAAGTGAGTGAGTGTGTGTGGTTGTCGGTCTATAAGTGTCAGCCCTGTGATAAACCGGCGACCTGTCCAGGGTGGACCCTGCCTTTCGCCCAGTGTCAGCTGGGATTGGCTCCATCCCCCATGACCGTATTCAAGAATAAGCAGTATAGATAATGGATGGATGGATGGATGGATGGATGGATGGATGTTAGGATTCAGCCTTGGGTTATTACTGTTATTATCCTCACTGAGGAACAGACTGACATTTTAGCAAAAATTTACAAAATTTTTGTTAAATAATGAAAAATAAAAACTCTGTCTAGTAAACTACTTCAGACTTTGCCCTCTATCTTTATGCCGCCTGGGTCTTTTATTCGCACTCCAGTTCATCTCTGAAGATACCTGACATTTTTAAGCAACATTTCCAGACAATCAATAATTGGTTGTGTGCTGGAATTTAAAATGCGACATCACATTTAAAAGGCAGGCAACCATCGGAGGTTTGAGGTTTGACAAAATAAATTATTGCCACGTCCGTCTGTCTTTGGAGATTTCTGTCTGGCCTTATATTTTCTCTTGCTCTCTCTGAATGTTTAACTCACCAACAACCTCACTAACACCATCAGTGGACTATTGATGTTAGATTAAATAAGTACATTATATGTTGCATGTTGAGAACAATAAAAGAAGCTGCTGCATATAGTCTCACTATGCAACTGCTTACGACGGGGGAAAAATCCAGACTTTCAGCAGATATACACAAAGGCAGAGACACACACACAACTGTGCACATACGTACTAGAGTGAAGGATAAACAGCTTATATGCAACATCATCATATTCATCAATACACATAAATCTCATACAGTCACACTTTCACTCAACTTTATTTCCCCATTGACAGATAACACCACCAAACACACAAAACACCCAGAGTTAGATTAGTGCTAAGGCAAAACCACTGGGACTACACAGGAACAAAATACTATTATTTACACATGCACATACAGTCACGGCCAAAAATAGTGGCACCCCTGCATTTCTGTCTGATAAGATACAACTTCTCCCAGAAAACTGTTGCAATTAAATTCTGTGGTGTTCTCATGTTTACTTCTTTTACTTGCATTGGAACAACACAAAAAAGCATAAAAACCCCAAATCTGATACATTCCACAAGAACTCCAAAAGCATACTGGACAGAATGACTGACACTGTTTCAAAATCATCAGAAAAAGTTGTATTTCAAACATGTGTTGCTCCTTTAACTTGTAATGAAACTCACCTGTAGCAATCAACAGGTGCTGCCAATAGAAACCACACTTGCAACCAGTTAAAATGGAGAAAAGTTGATTCAAACTTTGTGTCATGTGGACCACACTGAGCACAGAGAAAAGAAAGAAGAGCAAAGAATTGTCTGAGGATTTGAGGACCACAATAGTGTAAAAGCAAACTCAAGGCTCCAAGTCCGTCTCCAGAGATCTGGCTGTTCCTGTGTCCACTGTGCACAACATTGTCAAGACGTTTACAGCCCATGGCATTGTAGCTAATCTCGCTGGACTTGGACGAAGGAGAAAAAATGAACTGCAACGAAGGATTGTTCAAATGGTGGATAGAAAACCTTGATCAAGTTCCAAATAAATTCAGGCTGGCCTGCAGACACAGGGTCCAACAGTGTCAGCTTGCACTATCTGTTGCCATCTGAATGACAAGGGACACTATGGTAGGAGACCCAGGGGGCCCACTGCTGACACAAGAACAAAAAAAAAGCCAGACTGGAGTTTGCCAAAACTTACCTGAGGAAGCCACAAGTCTACTGGGAGAATATCCTGTGGACAGATGAGACTAAAATAGAGTTTTTGGTCGAGCACATCATTCTACTGTTTTCAGAAAACAAAATGAGGGCTTCAAAGAAAAGAACACGGTCCCTACAGTCAAACACAGTAGAGGGTTACTGATGTTTTGGGGTTGCTTTGTTTCTTCAGGATCTGGATGTCTTGATTGTGTGTATGGCATTATGAAATCTGAAGACTACCAACAAATTCTGGGGCTCAATGTAAGGCCCTGTGTCAGAAAGCTGGGTCTCTGTCAGAGGTCAGACTTCCAAAAGCAACAGAAATAGCTTCAGACAATGTACTGAAGTGGGCAGCAGTGAGTCCAGATCTAAATCCCATAGAGCACCTCATGGAGAGATCTCAGAACAACAGCTGGGAGCATAAACCCTACAAATCTGGGAGACCTGGAGAAGTTGGCAAAAGAAGAGTGGTCCAGCATTCCAGTAGAGAGGTGGAAGAAACTCACTGATGGTTACAGGAAGTGATTGACTTCCTGGGTTTTGTCCAAAGCAAGTGCTACCAAATATTAAGTTGAGGGCTTCAATAAATCTGTCCAGTTCATTTTTGGAGTTCTATGTGGAAATGATCAGATTTGGCTTTTTCTCTCTGCTTTTTGTGCTGTTTCAATGCAAACATAAGAAATAAACATGAGAATACCAAAGACTTGGTGATTGCAACAGTTTTCTGGGAGAAGTAGTGCGGTATCAGACAGAAATGCAGGGGTGCCAATATTTTTGGGCATGACTGTACAATTTTAAGGAATTTTAACACTGCTAGAAACCATTTTCCTCTTCATTGCAGAAGGGAAAGCTGTGACAGATGTGTGCATTTGTGTGTGAGAGAGGGGAGACAGAGTGAGAGAGATACAGAGAAACGGGCATTGAGAACGAAAGGGAGGAGAAACGCGCACAGAGAAGCTATTGATAAATAGAATAACAGTAGCGTTCCCACCAAATGAAGCAAATGTTAACACTTTCTTCTCTATCTACAGACAGGTGACAAATGAAAGTAAACCCCTAAATAAAGTGTCAAATTAAAGTGCTGGGCCACCACATGCCACCAAACAGCTTCAGTGCACCTTGGCATTGATTTTACAAGTCTCTGAACTCTACTGGAGGGATGGACACCATTCTTCCAGAAGATAGTTCCTTTATTTTGTGTTTTAATGATGGTGTAGAGAGCTCTGTTTAACACCTCGGTCCAAAATCTGCTGTAGCTGTTCAACTGATTTGGTGACCGTGCAGGCCATAGCATGTGATTCACATCATTCAGTGACCCCTGGTGTCCTATAGACGAGGGCACTGTCATCCTAGAAGGGTTTATGCTCCGTATATTTCCAACTTCCGTGGCCATGCAATCCCCACCAACACGATGGGCTGCTGACACACAGAATCAACCCCCTGTCAAACCATCAGATCCTCAACAGAGGAGAAAACTGTACCTCTGTAGGTGTGACTGCCCAAAATCATGTTTCACTATGAGCTTGGTATCTCCTCTGCATGCTCTCCAGATTCAATTTCACTCAATCCTTCTGATTTTGTTTATAGTAGCACAGGTTATTGACGTAGTTGGCAAAATTACCAATAAGTGACTGACTTCTTTTATACCTGGTTTATTTATTTTGGCAGACATATCTGCTCCTTATGGAGGCCCTAAAATTAGCATGCTCATACTGTTCCCCAGATGTAATATTGTGTCCAAGTTGGGCACTGCACTCTCTTCTCTCACAGACACACACACACATACACACACTAACCCCTTGTGCATGCATATAGGCTAGCTCTCATTCTCTCCTTTACACTCTCCCTCTCAGTATCTCAAACACGCACGCACAAGAGGACACACGCACACAACACCCAGAGAGAGCGGCAGGCGCGCCAGCGCACACACTCAGACACATACACCGACGCTGTCCGCAGCAACAAAGCGGCACGAATTAAGCCACCTTTCTTTTCTCCTCACTCTCCCGCGGGCTCACACGCAAACTGAGCAACCTGCGAACATTATCATCCCCCACCAGCACATGCGCGCACACACATATGACCGCATGCAAGCGCGCAGGCACGCACGCAAACATGCAGACAAATCGAAACCCCTCCAAAACTCACCTCTGGACGAGGAGAAATCCCCGATGAGAAGCCCCAGCAGGAGGAGAAGCGGGAGGTCGCGTCTCAGCCTGCCAGTGTTCTTCATATTCAGCCGCCTCCTCACCAGGAGCATCTCCGGCGCTCCCAAATCCGTCATTTTGCTGTTAAATAAATCCAAGCTGGTTTAATTTGAAAGCCCTCTCCCCACCTTGCCGCTCTGCTTGGCTGAAAGAAGCGGAGGGGGGTAAACGAGGACGGCCGCCCCCCACCTCCCTTTTCTTTCGTTTTTATACAAGAAAGAAAAAACGAGCAGAAACCCCCGATGAGAACCCCCAGCAGGAGGAGAAGCGGGAGGCCGCGTCTCAGCCTGCCAGTGTTCTTCATATTCAGCCGCCTCCTCACCAGGAGCATCTCCGGCGCTCCCAAATCCGTCATTTTGCTGTTAAATAAATCCAAGCTGGTTTAATTTGAAAGCCCTCTCCCCACCTTGCCGCTCTGCTTGGCTGAAAGAAGCGGAGGGGGGTAAACGAGGACGGCCGCCCCCCACCTCCCTTTTCTTTCGTTTTTATACAAGAAAGAAAAAATAATAATAATTACAGGCTTAGATCAATCACGAATATTCCACACACACTTGTCCATGTTAACGTTTGGACAGGGCAACCGGTGACGCGTTGATGGTCTGAGATCGGGCAACACGCCGCTGGTGTGAGCTGTCATAGCAGAGACCGGATGACCGGAGGGGAGAGAGACAGAGAGATGAAGAGATTCTGTGAGGGAGAGGAGAGAGGTGGTTGGTAGGTCCGCACAGCACGGAGGGCGAGCGACGACTGAAACAGGGAGAGAGAAGGGGAGAGAGAGAGAGAGACGCACGGAGAGAGAAAGGTTCGGTGGGAAAGTAAAAGACTGGGAGGAAAAGTGGAAGACAGTGAGGATAAGGAAGGAACAAAGTGAGAGGGGTGAGAGGAGAAAGGGATGACAAAAGAGGGTGATTTCAGGAGAGGGTGACTAAGGAAAGAGGATAAAGGAATGAAAGGAAAAAAAATAGGAAAAGGGTTTAAAAAGAGAGGAGACCAAAGAGGACAGAGAGGTTTAAGAAAGACAGACAGACAGGGAGGGAGGAGAGAATTAAAGATGAAGATTTCATGTAAAAGAGAAGGAGGAAATCCATAAAAAGGAGATAAAGGAGAAAAAAGAAAGCAGTCGAGCAAGAAGTGATGGATAGAATAAAGAAGCAGCAAGGCAGAAAGATTTCAATAAAAGCCAAAGAGGAGGCTGAGAAGAGAGGGATGAAAGGAGAGAGGAATGAGGGAACAATTAGCAGGAGGGCCCTGGAAAATCCTCAGCAATGGATGGAGGAGAGGATAATTTCAGGAGAGAGAAAAGAGGGAAAATAATAGAGGGATGGCAGGAGAGATGGAATTAGGGAATGATGAAAAGAAGAAAAGAAAAAACAGGTATCAGTGAAGAAAAAATGGGAGAGATTGTGTAAAAGATGGATGAAAGAGGGGAAGAGGACAAAAGAGGGGGATGGGAGCAGAGAAAATGAGGAAAGGGCATTTCAGAAAAGAGTGTGGGAAACAGGAAAGGGGGTGGAACAGAAAGAAGAGAAAGAAAAGAAACAGGTGAACGAAAGGAGAGAGAAAAGGAAGTAAGGAGGGATGAAAGGTGTGAAAATGAGAGGTGAGGAGCAAATATTTCAGTGGTGGTAAGAGAAAGAAGGAGGAATTAAAAAACAAGGACAAAGAGAACAGGAAAGGAAGGAAGAGTCATGAGTGATGGAAGAGAAGTGGAGCAAGAATAAAGAGAGAAAGAAGAGAGAAAGAAGCAGGGAGAAAAATAAATGTAAAAGAATGGAAGGAAAGTCTATGGAAAAAGAGAGGAAATGAAAGAAAATGTGAGGGGTTGAGAGAAGAAAAGAGAGGGAGTGGTGGACCCATAAAAATAAATAGGTGAGGTAGGAAGGAGGGGGGAAAAGCAGAGCAAAATGAGAAAGGAGCAGAGCTGCACAGGGGGTGAGGGAGGGCTCATATCTCATACATATCCACAACATTTCCAAACTATTTTAGAAGGTCATATGATGTTAAAAACACACACACACATCACACTCAATCTCAGTACCATATAAACATCACTCTGATTCTCTCATCTCTACAAGTGTCTGTGTATAGGTATGCACCCCCAAATGGAGCCACGAGCCAGTTATTGATCCCCGGTCGCCGGTGGTAGGTGCGGAGGATCACACTAACGAGATTACAATACTACAAACACGACGTGGAGACCGAGCCTGCTGAGCCACTCAGGCGGCCGACAGCAGCAACATTTAGAGACAAATGCAAATTACACATGTCAGTCCAAACTTGGCCCATTACAGTATTTCACGGCAGGCGTCGCCCAATGCTTTCACACCAAAAAAGGAAAGCGAGAAAACTGAAATAGATTGTGACATCACCTACAGTCTTCTGAGAGATTTGTTAGAGTTTTCTAACTAATATTTTACACATTGTCTGTCCAGTGAAAATGGGACAGGACATAGTGTCTCTCAGCTATACTACTCCCCTCCGTGACACTATGTTGCCTGAAGCCCTTCTGTGGTTATTCAGCTTTTCTACCCTGTGTTTTCAAAATATTGCCTGTAAATCAGTCAGAAGAGGTGACGTCTTTTGCACAGAGAGAGTGGGACAAAGAAAGACAAAAACAGGGTTAACATCAGTTTGGCTTTTGTAACATGGGGAGGGTTTAAAACAGCCAAAGGACTCACATTTGAAGCAGATGTGAGCCTGCTTGTGTTTGTTTTTGTAACATTATCATGTTATCATGGTCATGATTTTACCTTTGTACTGAACTAATATGATTTTACTTTAGGAGCAATATGAGCTTTATGTAATATTAATGCTTTGTGGCACATTAGCAGTAACCAGAATGCTCTAGTGGACAGGAAAATGTTTGTCACAACCAGGCATCAGTAGTTTAAGTCATCACTGGGAAACAGGATGTAATGACAGGGGCAAAGGTCGGTTAGGAGCAGCTCATGGTGTCACAGCTTTTTTTGAGTCTCACTAGACCCTAGGCTGATAAGAAATTAGGCAGAGTGGTTTTGTATTTTGTATCTTGGCAATTACAGGAGTCAATCAAGCAAACGCCCTGATAAATGTAGATTTTCTTTTTTCACAAAGCATTATTTTGAATATTTAGGATTAGAATATTTTTTTAAACCAGCAGGTAGTGGTAATTTGTCGTATTACATCTCTGTTGTTTAGCCCAAGTGGACACAAGTCATCCTGATGATCCATAAATCAATCTGCTAAGGAAGATTTTTGTACAGAGATCTGTGCTTGTTGCATTTATGAATTAGAATAATCAACAAGCACTCGTGCTGATAGCTGTTACACATGAAAAAAAACACTAATTTTGAACTAACCCTCTTTTTGCTGAACTACTAAACATGCCCCTTGGGTCCTCCAACCACATGTTACAGGATTTATAGGCTATAACAGCTTGTTTTGGCTTTAAGTCATTTTCATAATAGATTTGTTACTAATCTCCCACCATGTTCATCCTCACTGATTTTGTTCCACTTGGCAACCTCATTCATCCTTGTACAGATAGTTAACCATCTCAACTTTGATTTCACAGCCTGTGTGTATGTGCATGACAGTGTATGTGTGCACCACATGGGTTTAAATGGTATGTGTGCACTTGGGTGATGTACTGCATGTGTTAGCATGAGTGTATGTCATGTGTGTTTCAGTGAGTGGCTGTGCGTGTGTGTGTGTTGAGCCATTTCACAGCATTATTGAGTCATCCGTCAAGCTGGTAGCTCTCTGTGCATTGGGATACTTTAGTCATTTTATATATATTTATAAAAAAAATTACATCTAATGGTGGGAGCCTTCAAAACATCATATGCTCCTAAAACACTGCTGTTTCAGACCCCAACAAGAGGGTCATTTGAACCAACTCACATCTGCTCCTGCTCTTCAGCAGGCAGCAAGGCAAAAAGACAGGCAGATAAACGCATGTATAGATAGATACTGTAGGTAGAGGTAGAGAGAGAGAGAGACAAAAATCAGAGACAGCTGGATGGAGAATAGATAGATTCTAAAAACATGAGTAATCTGAACACAGTCTGTAAGGCAGCCAGATACTGAGAGAGCGAGCATCCATTCAGCACCACGGACAGCTTCTCTCTATAGCTCAGTGTAGTAAGGCTGCCATCTACTGGTCACAGAGAGACTGCAGGAAAAACACAGCTTTATTCAAGGGGGGGAAGAGTTGAAGCAAGGCAGTGTAAGCTGAATTTTAAGTTCACATTACTGAAACAGTACAGAATGAATTAGAATAAAATAAAAGTAACCATTATTTCCCTGTGGTGTTTTTGATGTACATCCTGTTTTTGTCTAAAGGCATCACTGCGTGAATAAATTTGAATATGGCAGTTCTCAGATTATTGTTAAGAAGTTCTCCCACATGAAGCTCAGCTGAGCAAAACTGGGTACGGCGGCTCCTCTGTGATGCTAACAACAGTGATCTCTGAGGTTTTACTGGACCAGAAGGTGTACATTAATAGCAACCTGCCCGCATTAAAATGTACAGCAACAAACACAAGCAGAGTAAACACCGACCACGCAGGTGTTCAAAAGCCGTTGAGCATTACACTGTAGCTTGGGGCTGGGCTCTGATGTATATGCTGCTCTGAAGAACACCTCTCAAACAGTGTAAAGGAGCAGTCTCATTGAATAAAGGCTGTAATACCCTTAAGGATGCTGTAATGATATGGTTACAATAGTAAAGTGGTTAGGCATGAGGCGCAGCCAAGAATAGCTCTGCTATAATATCAGCTGGAAGCACAGGTTGGAAATTTAACTTAAGGCCTGTAATGCTGTAGCGGTAGGGCAGAATTACTAAATAAAAAGTCAGCAACTAACTATCTAGATCCAGTACATACAGAATACTTCATATAGTATTCAGTATGCACTGAGAAGTAATGAAATCAACAAGTCCTCCAACCCAAATGCCTGTGATGTTTGCTTGTCCTTACCCTCAGTAACAACACATAGGAGCATCTCCTGAAATAGGGCAGCTGTTCTGGAAATGCGCAGACTTGGATCCAATAATAAACATGTGGTTAAGATTGTGGAAAGGTGACAGTTTGGTTAGGTTTAGGAAAAAAGTGGTTTGGGTTTAAAATAAGTACTTTGTCAAGGTTAGAGGACCTTTGTCATAATAAACACATACTGTAAGGAACAACGACTGATGACTGGTTTAAAACAGGAAATGAATGGCAGTGTCCC